CAAGGAACAATCCGGAATCGCTAGATGGCACTAGTGAGCATTTGAAATAAATATGTTTGTGATCCAGATTCAAGGAATCAACCTCTGCAAAAAACTGCTCAAACATGGACTTGGTAAGCGAGTTGGTCTCTTTAGTCCAATTCATAGAGCGTATTCTGCAGAACGAATCTGACTGGGGATTCGGGTTCCGCCAAATATCCTCTCCTCTTTCGAATACTAACAACAGGCTCATAAAATGTTCGGAGAGAAGAGAATCATCCTCTTTTAAAAAGCCACTCTGGTTGTAGTGCGCAAAACCTGTATCAGAGTGCGGACCAGCCGTGACATGCAATTTACAAGTCAACACTTTCTGGTTTAACTTTGAAATCCTGTTGTAGAATCCGTTGCAAATCGCATATAACCATATCACGGATTGAAACGCTTGATGATAAGTATCCTTTTTCTCGGTTTGGAGTTGAGAACGGTGGAATTATGGCGTTTCTAAATTCAGCTACTTTTTTCCAGGGCTGCAAAATTGCAATACATAAATGGGACAATATGAAGGGACTAATAACAATGCATATCTCTAAAATTGATCAAAGATTTAGAAACTTGACCTATTTTAAACAAAAAAATTGTTCTACTAAGTTTTTTTATATATACGTTAATTAAACTGTCATACCTAGATGCTTCTTAGTGAATCGAGCCAGCTCTCCATATTTGGTTTTACTTAACCCAAGTTTTGATTTTATCGCCAAAGTTGACTCCTCCGAACACAGAGATGTTCCACGAACAGAGTCAACGGATTCGATGGTCTCTTTTACCCAAACCTCACCGCCGCTCAACAAATGCTGTAAGATTTGAGCAGTTGCTGGATTAGCAGCCTTTATGGCAGCAATTTTGGCTGACTACAGCAAGTTATCAAGACCTTGTTCTTTGAAAAGTCCGATACTGCGTCTGTATTTCGAAAATCTTGTCAACTGGCTAAACTCCTTGCGCTTTCGACCTCGAGGATTTAGGGTTGACGGTCTTCGCTGACTGTTGGAACTGGTATCCAAATCCGGAGTGGCAAAAGGAGGTGAAATAGGAGATGATTGTGACGAGGGATCTTTGGGTTTCCTTGAATGGACCCGCGTATTTTTCGAAGGCCTGGATCCTGAGGGTTGGTCTTCGACCTGATAAAATAATTGATGATGAATTATATCCAAGCATTTTTTCGTAAAATTTTAGAGTCGGTAGTTTTTGTTTAGGATTTTTATAAAATATTCATACAAATATCAAGTCTTTTTCTAATCGCGGTTGATGCTATTGATTATTTAGTAACATGAACAAAAACAGATTTCATCAGTAGTATGTCTTGCTTTACATTAACGCATTCCCACGCTTTTACTAATTTTCATTCAAGTCCAATTTAAATTGGTTTGGAATCCGTTGTTTTTTGAAAATTTAGCACTTCGCTCAACAGGTACAATTTTTCCGAACTGTAATTTTTTAATGTTCGAGGGTATCGTATTAAAAACGTTTCTTCGTTAATTTATGCTGCTTTCTAAAATTAAGCACGCCCAGGGATTCTTACCTCGAATATGCTTTCAAGCCACTCTGCATTCTTCTTAAAGAATCGATCCTTACTGTGGGTTTTTAACCATCACCGATTAAATTGACCAATCCAGTTTTTAACACCTTGCGCTACAGCCGCAGGTGCTTTCGACAGTGCCCTAGACACAAAGTCAAGTAAACGGTTCTCCAAATTGTCTTTGAGTTCAGATCAAATTCTCATCCAGGTTCACAGATTCAAAGCCCTTTGTATTAAAACATCTCCAAACATCTTAAACATATCATGCACATTATTTACGTTTGAATTCGATATGTTTAATACGTTCTAGGTTCACCAAATTGTCCTCAAAACTTGTTAATTAGGCTACCATCTCGCATTTTAGTTTGATTACATTCATAGATCAGGAGGCCTCCATAAGCTCGGTCGGTAGAGCCTGCTACTATAAAGCAAACCATGCTGTAGGTGGCTGGGTTCGAATCCCGGTTGGTCTAGGATTTCAGATTGGAAAATTTCTCGACTTCCCTGGGCATAGTATATTATTGTACTTGCCACACAATATACACATGTTAAAATCGAACAGGCTTGGAAAGCTTTCAATAAGCAACTGTGAAAGTGCATCTAAAGCACTAAGTTGAGAGCAGGCGTTAAGTTACAGTTGGGACGTAATAGCCAGAGAAGATCATAGATAGCTCTAACTAGCGGAGGAATTCCGAATTGTTCTGTCCACCATCCAACAGTCCTTGACCCCTGATCAACTTTGCCGAAGAAATCATTCGTCTAAATAGTCAGGATCTTGAGATACAGCAGCACAAATATATTCACTTTCAATGCTCACTAGCGCCATCTAGTGGAGGAATTCTGAATTGTTCTGTCCATCATCCAACAGTCCTTGACCTCCTTATCAACTTTGCCGAAGAAATCATCCGTCTAAATAGTCAGGATCTTAAGATACAGCAGCGCAAACATATACACTTCGAATGCTCACTAGTGTCGCCTAGCGGAAGAATTCCGAATTGTTCTGTCCATCATCCAATAGTCCTTAATCTCCTGATCAACTTTTCCTAAGAAATCATCCGTCTATATCATCGGTATCTTGAGATACAGCATTCAAATCATGCAAAATAGGATATTTTAGGGCAAAACTGTGAAAACCCCCAACTTACCCTATCGTGCCCAAGATGAAACCCACTCCAATCGATTTCTGAGACTTTTTTCTATAAGAATGACTATTGTTTAGTCTCTTGTTCCAGCGAACACCAAGTTATTGAATTTTAACACATTATTTCGATTTTGTCCCCAGTGTGCATTGGGACGGTACTAATGGATAGTTTTGGTCGCTATTGAAAATTTAGTCGATTGCTGAATTCATGTATGGGCCCAAAAAGATAACCTTAAAGAATCCAATTGCATATTCGTAATCTGCATTACAAATGGAATCGAAATCTAAAATTTCATCAATTTTGGAGCACTGGAACTATTTTAAATAAGTGTGATTACATAGGCGATCGACATGATTGGTAACTGGATGCAAGGAACGAAGCTGCAGATAGCCCACCACAAAACGGAAGGGCTATTGGTCAGTAACTGTAAAGCGGTGCAGCAGGCACAAATCACTGTCGGTGAGCACGTCATAGCCTTGAAGCGTGTGTTGAAATACCTGGGAGTGATGATCGTGGACCGACTAAACTTCAACGGCCACGTTGAATATGCCTGTGAGAAGGCTTCGAAGGGCATCAACGCGAACAACTTGGGTGAACAGAAAACACGGAGATGTTAGCTTCCAGCTGACGCAGTTCCTGAGCTTTTAAAAGGAGGAATTTATTTTTGGATAGCTTCATTACTAAAATCAACTGAATTATGTCATAAAATTGTTCACACGCGTTAAAAAAATTGATTTTTGTTTGTCCATTCATGGCATCTTTTGGATACGCCTTTCAAGAAGTTCGGCTAATCTGGTCGATTTGTTGACCATTAAGTGAAGTGTATTGACCTGATCAAGGTTTCCAGCCTACGTCATGGAGGTCCATTGGAATTGATTAGTGATGTATACAAGTTGAAATCATCTTAACCATCATTTCATAAAACATCAACTCAGTTAGTTAGTTAGTTAGTTAGTAAGTTATGTTATGAAAAATGTGGATAATTCCCTCGTATAATACAGTTTAATTCTAAAGTTCTCCAATACAATATCAAAACAAAATTTCATTTGATTTTCCTAACGATATAGGTACGTCTACTTCGTTGTTTTGCATTGGATGATTAACGTCTGAATTTTGTTGAACCCATCTGACTATTGACTAATTTTCGAATGACGATGACGTGACGTCATACTATCTAGTGCATAAGAATGTCGTAGACAAAAAAAAATCAGATTACCAGACCAAGCTGTATGAAATTTTGTTACACCCTTGTGCGTAACCTTTTTAGTTGGAACGTTAATGTGCCAATTTGTTTTAACTTGTCTAGTAAACTTAAATTCATTGCTAAAGGCAATACTTTTGGCATCGCTTGCTCAATGATATTTTTGCGTTCGCTAGCAAAGTAGTGGAATCAAAGTGGTTTTCTTGGTGATTTCACCTATAGATTTGAGAAGCAGTTTTTTTAAAATTAATTTCATGAATTCGATTGCGTGACATTGTGAAATGTTACGAAGAACACAAGTAAGTAAATACAGTGGAAGTGTTTTAACCAGGAAAATATGGTTGTAAAGTCAGGTTATACTTGCTTTAAACTTTTAGATGAGTAGTGTGTGAATGTATGTGTATACTAATGATGAAGATTAAAGAATATAAATTGAGTGACGGTGATGGTGTCGATCGCGGCATGATGTTTTGGATCAGGGAAGTCTCTGAAGGAGTGTTCTTGAATGAATAGTTATGTCGCCATGGCGCTTTCAAAATTTTGTACAACGAGGTATGGGAGAAAAATCATGAAAGCATGCTTATAACAAATCGTCTTATAACCTAGGCGAAGCCATCGGGAGATTCTTGAAAATTGAGGGAGAAGGTGTAGTAACACATAGCATTTGAGAGAATCTTTCAATTCTTTATCTTCAACCTTTACCTGTATAAATTGATTTTTTTTATTAAATCATTTTCTCTTGCACTGGAAGCAAGCAAATGGTATTCATACTCTGACAGCAGTTTCAACATGATTTTCAAATTAGGCGGCTGCGTATCATAGTTGTTCATCATCAGTGTATAATGATGATTCGGTGTACTTCGAACGATAACACAATTTTTATATTGTTTGCAATAATCAGAAGTGTTTGTTGTTTACACAGGAAGCCCCTTCTGTGAGTGAACCGTAACGAATTCCTTGGGCAGAAAAGAACTCGTCATTTCGGAATTTACCATTAGTCACCGCTGTGAGTGGCACTGCACCGGGAAAGTGATAGCATCGGTATCGTCGGGATTTTTTGATCTCCGACGAAGAACTTGATATCCTTGTAGTACATATATAAGTAGTAACGTCCACAGTGTTTATGAAGTCAGTGTTGAAATAAGTGCCACGAACGAAACGAATTATACCAGTGAGCAGTTCATATACGAGATATTTACTTTTGGGATTCACAATGAAGGGTAATTTCGTTTTAATTATTATGGCCAATGTATACTAATTGAAAGCTAATCAGTCTTTACAGCCATCATACCGCTGTTGCTGTCAGTTGGAACAATCGCCAATCCTACTTTTCGATACGAAGATGGTATCGTAGACTCGAGATGTCCATTGAATGAAAATCCAATGAATCCTGTTCATCTACCACACGCCAGAGATTGTGGAAAGTTCCTGAAATGTTTCAGAGGTCGCGCTTTCACAATTAATTGTCCTCCGGGTCAGGAATTTGGGCCACAAATTCAACGCTGTGATTATCCAGCATATGCTCAGTGCCGCTCAGTTTTGGCTTTACCAGATCCGGCTGAATTCAAATTTGAAGATGGAGTAAGTGACGCAAAATGCGCTCGTAATGATGATCCCATGCACCCACTTCATCTGCCACATCCGACGAGCTGCCAAAAGTTTATGAAGTGTTTCAGCGGAATGAGATTTGAATTGGATTGTCCACCTGGACAACATTGGGCTGCCCATCTCAATCGTTGTGATTTCCCATCAATTGCGAAATGTGTCATTAATGCAAAACCATTCCAGGCTGATCATATTAATGAAACAGAGGACACTGAAAGTGTAAATGAAAGTTCAGAAAATACAGATGTTGAATTGGAAGAAGCAGTCGAAACGGCAATAAACGACCAACCACTTGCCCGACCAGCTATCGCTGTTCCGATGAAGGCTGAATTTGTTTATAATGCAGGAGTTCCTGACATCCGTTGCCCACGGACAGATGATCCTTTCCGCCCGATCCACTTGCCTCATGCTACCGATTGCGGAAGATTCCAGAAATGCTTTGACGGTAGAGCGTACATTTTGAACTGCCCACCTGGTCAAGAATTCGGACCAAAGCTAAACCGCTGTGACTATCCACAATACGCGCAATGCTCACTACCTAAACGTAAAAATATGTCTAAATTGCTTAGTAAAGCAGTGAAATATGACGATTATTACGATTACTATAGCGATGAAGAATATCTATTGCAATCGTCTGAATGGACAGACGAACAACGAGAGATGATCGCCGGTGTTACTGATAGCCGTTGCACGATAACTGATGATAACGAACATCCTATGCACCTAACCCACAAAAAGGACTGCGGAAAATTCTACAAGTGCTATGATGGCCGTGCTTATCTCATCCAGTGTCCTGCGGGACAGCACTGGAGTGTGCGATTTGATCGGTGTGACTATCCAAAGGTGGCCAAATGCACAATTCGTCCGTAGAGTGGAAACCAGCTTGGGTGATTAGTGGTTTGCATTGACGGCGTAGACTTAATGGTACGGTGTTTGTATTTATTTGCAGTAATTAGTAATAAAACGGAAGGGCATCGCAAACAGCTTTATTTTTTATCCATCAATTCATTTGAATAAATTATAGTCCTGTCATAAATGTAAACGTTAATTTATTTAATCTGCGAGTTGTGTTTGATTAGAAATTATCATCCGAAGTTCATTCTTCTATCAAATAAATCCCATGACATGAGAATGTTGGTCAACAAACCAATTCCATCAAGGTGGTTCTTCTTAAAATAAATCTGCTGAGACTTAATAATAATTAAAATTTGTTCACTAACTACGCAAGCAATACACTACCATCAAGATAAGTTGCTGAAACTTGATTGTGACTGGAATAAGCAAACAAGTTACCACGATTTTTCAGTGACAAGTGTGCTGCTAAGGTAAAGCTCGAAAGAGACGTCTGGGTCCATTGAAATTTAAACATGTTAACCATCAAAAAGCACATAAAATAAATATAAATTATAGTAAAACAAAAGATAAAATGTTTGTCTAAGGAGTTGTAAACAAAATTTTCTTTTCAATTCCGTACAATTTTTTTTTATTTAAAAAAAAAATCTTCGATTATGTGTGTGATGGCCTGCTTTGAAACTCAACAAAGAAAAACAAACAATAAATTATTCTTTAAGGGACTGGTATCATGTTAGATTTTATTCCTCTAATGAGGATTCAGACAGTGCATTTTCGTGTTTTTTGAGCGCATCGTAAAAAAAATCTCGTAAAAAACGCGTGAAATGAGTTTTAGGAGGATTTTTTACGCGCAATATTTTGGAATTAGCGCCTTTTTTACACGGTTTCTTTCACCCGGATTTCGGATTTCACGCGGTTCTTTTCACGCGGATTCTAGAATTTACGCGGTTCTTTTACGGGGGTTTCAGAATTTGCGCGTTTTTTAATATAGATTCCAGAATTTACGTGGTTTTTTTACACGTTATTTTTACGCGGCCTCCCGTGTAAAAAAGCGACTTCAATGTATAGTTGTAGTTGCGAAAAAAATGAATTGGGTCACTCTCGGCGAAAATCTAAATTTCTCATTTTTTCATCAGCAAGAATTACGTTCAGAACTTCCCTTACCAATCAGGCTAAGGCCTTGTTGCCATCTGCTGTCCGAAGAAGTCGTCTCCACTCTACTCGATCCATGGCCACACTTCGCCAGCCTCGTAGTCTGCGAAGGTTCCGCAGTTGGCCTTCTACTTGGTCGATCCACCTTGCCCGTTGCGCGCCTCTTCTTCTTGTTCCTGTTGGGTCGCACGTTCTGTTCGAAAACACCAAGGGCACGTTGGTCCTCCACGAGCATAGTCCAGGTCTCGTAGCCGTAAAGGATCACCGGTCTAATCAGCGTCTTGTAGACAGTCAAATGCATGCGGCAGCGAATTTTATTCGACCGGAGCGTCCTCCGGAGTACAAAGTAGACACGATTCCCTGCCATAATGCGTCTTTGAATTTCTCTGCTGGTATCATTTTCGGCGGTCACCAGTGAGCCCAAATACACGAACTCATCGACCATCTCGATTTCGTTACCGTCAATCTGAACTCGGGGTGGGAGGCTAACATTGTCTTCCCTAGAACCTCTTCCTTTCATGCATTTTGTCTTTGAAGCGTTGATGGCAAGTCCAATCCGCCTAGCTTCAGCCTTCAGTCTGATGTACGTTTCCGCCATCGTCTCAATGTTCCGTGCCATGATGTCAATGTCATCGGCGAAGCCAAGAAGCTGGATGGAGTTCCTGAAGATCGTGCCACTCGGGTATATTCCAGCTCTTCTGATCACACCTTCTAACGCGATGTTGAATAGCAGACACGAAAGTCCATCACCTTGCCGTAACCCCCCCGATTCAAAGGGATCGAGAGTGTCCCCGTTACTCGAACAACGCACATCACTCGATCCATCGTCATCGTCACAAATTACGAATACGCTGCCACTTCGTCATGGTGCAACTGTCAAACTAAGTAAATCATTTTCTTTTATACACAGCCTACTACGGTATGAGCTATAGGTTACGTGCATGCAAAGAAAACCAAGGCATTGTATGCACAGGTGAAACGGGAACCTTATTTGTACGATGGTGCAAACATTATCACGCATACGGTACATACACACTTAGTTTTTTCTACCGAGCTCGGCTGTGCAAATCTCGGCAACAAAAGTTTTACTGAGATCTCAGCAAACATTTCATTTGTTTGCTGAGATTCAGCTTAGCATTATCCGAGACTCAGCAATCAAATGTCACTTTTGCTGAGATCTCAGTGAAACTTTTTTTGCCGAGATTTGCACAGCCGAGCTCGGTAGAAAAAACTAAGTGTGTAGCATGTTACTAGAACTTCTTAGTCCATTCGGTTGAAATTGCGACGTTCCAGAGTAGCATTGGAACATTGTTTGTACAACGTCATATATATGTGCATTTACCTTACCCACTGTATCGATACTACAGTCTACAAAAACTCATACAAACAATAAATAGTATTTCCGTATCAACACAACGTAGGGATCCCACCCGTGCGCGATCAAACATTATAATTGAATTGTCTGGAGACTTCGTTGAAGCGAGCTGTCATGAAACAAAAAGGCACAGTTACTTCGTTGGTCAAAACCTTGGCAACAAAAGCGGTTTGCTTATTCGATCTTCTTTTCTCCAGGGTTTCGAGTCCCAACAGCATATTGTGATGTTCATATGGTGGCAAATTTATTCGACCACGCCATGACAGATGCCGGAGAGCTAAACGTACGCATTTTCTATGAACCGATTCAGTACTGTCCACTATCGCTCTATCGTATGGACTTCAGTGACTTAAGGCACAGAGGGTCACGGAATCCATTGGCGAGCTTAAAAATAAATCCAAGCTGCGTGTTTGCCTTTGATCTGACTAGATAAGCGATAGTTGTAGTTGTTCGGTTGTCATTTTCTGGAGAATTAAATGGTACTACATTTTGCCTCACATAATTCTAAGAGATTTCGCTGACTCCAGTCCTCGAAGGAATCCAGCAGTCATTGAACTCAAAACTATCCTCTGCACACGTAATAATTATGGTGATTTTTGTGACATCATCGCAGAAGACACGTGTTCCCGATGGCAGAACAAAAACTGCCTCGTTTATGAAGACTGAGAATAGTATTACTTCCTTAAGGTAAGCCCAATGTAGTAACAGACCATCCAGACAAGTACAATTTATGGTTATCGAAAGGCCAAGTTTGCAAAATTTACCAAGCAAAAGATCATGACTCACTTGATAAAATACCGATTTGAAATCTATATAAACAGCGTCAACTAGAAAACCGGTGTCCATCGAATAGAGCGTTGATGTCTGTATAAAATTCAAATATCCTGGAAGACTCAATTTTAACATGTTTTCAAATTCCTTTTCACAACAAATATCGTTCATGTTTTAAAAAGTTCCGAAATCAACACTCTTGAGTCATTCGTTACTTGTCCGGGATTGAGATTTGAACTCGTTAAGTACTTTGACGTAAGAGGCGCGGCACGCATTCCTTGTCGAACGTTCGACAGAGCAAGTTTTCTTTACGCTACTCTCCCGCCGCCGCAAAAAGTTTTGTTTTTTGGATTGGATTTTTTTCTCTCTCCCGATCAGATTTTTTTTTATTCACCTTCTGGTGTGCAGTGCCACAGGCGGACGTATACGTTCCCCGGAGGAAGCAACCATCTCCGCCGAGTCTGGAAATTGGATTGTCCAACGGTCAAATAATCAACCACCACCTAGACATCGCATCAAAAGGTCATCACCCGTATACACCCGTACAACGAAGCAGCAGAACTGCAGATACGGTCTATCCAGACCGGACGGTGCCCTTTGTGCTAAGGCACGTGCTGCAACAATAGAGCGATCATCTCTGCTTCATCGTACAGTGGAGTTTGTAAACGCGCCATCCCGGCATTTAAAGATAAGTTATTTTTTTCTCATCTTTTTTTGTTTTGTAAATATTTTTTTTGTTTTTGATTTGCTTATATTTAAGTAATCCCCCTGCAGCGTTGAACTTCCTTTCTTACAATTTTTTGTTTTTTATTTACTCATTATCTTATTTAGTTTTTTTTTGCACATATTTTATTTTATTTTTATATTTTTTATTAACACTTTGAGCAATTCGCCCACAGTGTTGATTTCCTTTTCTTGTTGTTTTCCTTCCAATTTCAATCTATGTATTTGAAATTTGTGGAAAATATAAACAATTAATAACTAAGATTGCAACAAATTCCGTTGCGGTGGTATCTTAAGTCACCGCAATGGATGATAAAAATAAAGGCGGGGTCTGTCGCTTGACATCTCTGATGATGAGTCAATAAAGTCTCCCTCATTTGAAAAGCTTGATAGCTCTGGGGAAATGGAAACCCTCGAAGAGCACCTTGATCAAACCACCAGCAAGAACACTGGAGCCTATCCAAAAGTGAAATCTCTACCACAGCCCCCTTCTCCTCCATCGCCGCCTTGTCCACCATCACCGCCTTCTCCACCATCACCGCCTTCTCCTCCTGTCCCCCCGAAAATATCAGCGACCCCCCGCCACAAGGCTTATCCTGATGACTTGAAAGGTCCGTGGGTTGTTTTCTTCCGGCCCAAACAAAAACCTTTGAATATTGCTCGGATTTCGAAGGATCTGACAAAACATTTTTCGGCCGTAACCGATATCTTTAAGGTGACGCCAAATAAACTGCGCGTTACCGTTGATGACCTGAAACAGGCAAATCGGATTGTTGCCTGTGAGCTTTTTTCGATTGAATATCGAATCTACGTCCCCAGTTGTGACGTAGAAATTGAAGGAGTGGTCACCGAATCGAGTCTGACTTGTGAGGATTTCCTACTAGCCGAATCTTTCGGCATTTTCAAAAACCGTGCCCTCCCGAATGTCAAGATACTGGACTGCATTCAACTGCAGTCAGTGTCGCACATAGGCACAAACAAAACGTATACCCTCTCAGATTCGTTTCGTGTGACCTTTTCAGGATCGGCTACCTGTACGCTTGTTTGTACCGAGGGTAACCCAGACAACCAGAAGTCGTATAACAATGTACAGACAGTATCGTAAATTGCTACAGTTTAAGTCAAAATCGCATATAAGAATGGCATACCTCGCCTTATGTTTAAGTTAAATCGTATAGAAGGCAAATTTCCGACTTATATGCGATGACTCATTTTACCGTCGTGCTGTATCACAAATTAAATCGGATAACATCGTAAGACTTTCCAAAATGATTTTTTATTACAGATAAAATCGTATATGATGTTAAATCAACTCGTTTAAAATTAAATTAAAATATACACGTATATGGCCTCCTCTTTTGTACGTATAAGCCATTTCTTTGCATTCTATACGAATTGTTTGTTTGTATATATGTTTATATATCACAAAATCAACTTTGAATATACGTGCATTCTGGTTGTCTGGGAATGAATTGCTTGAAATGCAAACAACTAGGTCACACCGCGGACTTTTGTTCCAACAAACCGCGGTGCGATCAATGTGGGGAAGAGCATACGGAGGGTCCTTGTCATGCTACCCCAAAATGCGTTTACTGTAAGGATGCTCCGCATGCTCTTAGTGATTGCCCGAAGTACAAACAGCAGGGAGGAAAACTAAAGTGGTCTTTGGAAGCTCGCTCTAAGCGCTTGTTAGCAGAAATTTTGAAAGCGACTGCTTCATCTTCCCAAACCAACCACCCCAAAAAGCAACAACACATTCCACCTCCTGCCAAATGATGATCAGGGCTCTGACTCAGAGGTTGGTGAGAGTAGTCCTTTTGTCTTTAACGGCAACACGAGGAAGCGGTCAAAAAAAACATCACCCAAAAACCTCGTAAGGCATTTCGTACGGACTCTCAACCTACCTTGAAAAATTTAAGAGGTAGCGGAAATGTAGCAAAACCCCCACCACCGGGATTTAAAGTTTGTAATTTTAACAAAGACTTTCCGCCACTTTCGGGATCATCTAAAACCCCAGATATCCCAGTTTTTTCAGCCAGAAAAACAGCTGAATAACCAGCAAGAACATGATGCCATTTTCACGTTTTCTGGAATTGTGGAGAGCATCTTCAATATATTTAACGTCTCTGACTCAACGAGGAACATAATTTAGTGCTTCCAATTGTGAAAACTCTTTTGAAGCAACTAGCTTCTAGGTGGTCCTTCCTTGCATCGATCATATCTTTTGATGGATAATTTTCCGAATGAGGTCGGAGATATGATCTCTCTTCTTCAGTGGAACTGTAGAAGTCTTATTCCGAAGCTTGACGAATTCACATTTTTAGTTCACAACTCATTTTGTGACGCATTTGCTCTTTGTGAAACATGGCTTTCTTCAGACACCGATTCCACGATTTTAACATTATTTGCCTTGATCGAGCAGATTCGTATGGAGGGGTGCTTCTAGGGATTAATAAGCTCCATTCCTTTTATACAATCGATCTGCCTTCCGTGACAGGCATTGAAGTTGTCGCGTGTCTGGTAAATATTCGAGGTAAAAGCCTCAGTATTGCCTCAGTATATCTTCCTCCGAGAACCGCGATTTCTCGCCAAGGTCTATCAGATATCTGCTCAGTTTGATCTAAGCCTCGGTTGATCTTAGGAGATCTTAAATCTCACGGTACAGGCTGGGGTGAACTGTGCGACGAAAACCGCTCAACCTTGATATACGACATGTGCGACATCTTCAAAATGACAATTCTGAGCACCGG